GCCCGTACGCGTGGTAAGCGTGTCACTTGCCACTACACCACTGCCGCCCTCTGCGCAAATTAGCTGAAAAATATTATTATATTACTCGAAGATTGTTCTCCTTGTTACCACTGGGTTAGTTATTTATTCATTCCATTTGTTCTTTCAAGATAGAGATATTGTGTCATCACTGGGATCGGGTTGTACAAAAAAATGAAGATGAGCAAATTGAGTTTAAAGTTTTTCGTCCTGCAACTTATCCCTTTGCATCATGACTAGGGTCACTTCAATTGCAGCGAGCAGAACAACTGGACGAGATGGCTCGTGTAGCAGCTGAGCCATTAGCGAGAATGGCTGATGATGTTGAAATGAACCGGCATCTGAAAGAAGAGATTCACGAGGAGGACCCAATGGCAGTGATGTTGAAGAGCAAGAAACGAAAGCAAGCGCTCAATCGTGGAGATCTGGGTGAGTCACAGATGCCGGTTGAAATACTCACTGCATTGATACTGCTTCACATTACAGTGTATCCGACGTATCAAGGCGAGTGTCCGCCAAATCGCTTCGGAATACGGCCCGGCTATCGTTGGGACGGAGTGGACCGGTCGAACGGTTTCGAGGCGCGACTAGCACAAGCGAAGAATAGAAAGAATGCTCAAGAAAGAGAATACTATCAAAATCTCCAGACGTATGAGTAGTTGATTTCCTGATTATGTGATTGCATTCATCTTTACGTTGCTTCGGATTACCTCAACACTTAAAAAATCAATTTCTGTACTGTTAATTTAATTGTTGTATTTGAAACAATAAATATACAAATCAGTCCTCTTTCAAATCATTAAACAACAATCCCAGCAGGGTTCTTACATTCAGCACTAATGGTGTAGAACGATGTGCTAGCCCTAGCCAAGAACATAAGAAAAGTGAGAAAACAGAAATCTTGAAAAGCCGCGAAAGGGAGTTGAACGCCTCCGAACTCCTTTCACGGCTTTCCAAGGAGAGTTTTCTGTTCAGTCACACTTCTTATGTTCTTGACTAGGACTCGTTCTATACCATTAGTGTCAAAGGTAAGAATCCTGCTGGGACTGTTATTTCAAGCATAGTATACGGTGGTTTTCAGGTTTCCATTAGGTGAGCCGCGAACTGGTTTGAACTGAGGACGGTAAAGGTATTTGCTCGGTCTGTTAATAATAAGGCTACTCTAATGACCTTTCTTGTTAGTCGGAGAGCGGAACTCGTGAGGCGACACTTCATCGAAAGGTCGTGCTACTGCGATGTAATGCTCTGGTCTCTGTACTAACTCTTGCCTGAGTATGTAAGGGTCTGACGCTAAACTTCACTTTTTAAGCGTCCACGTCTGCTTTTAAGAGAGAACTGTTGAGAAATACAATCTTCATTGCGGGTGACTTCAGCCTTTACTCCAAACCAAAAAAGTTAATGCATGAGCGCCCAGTCCATAGACCTTTTTCCAAACCAATCAAGATCGGACCAGTGTTTTTATGGTCCTTATTCAGGCTGGTAACAGGCGACTCGAAAAGAGGCAGAATCTTGACCTCAACAAGATTCAATCCACCACTAGCTCATTTTCAAGAAGATTTTTCAAGACCCTGGAGGTTAATGAGGAGTGTTTCCGGCATTGCACGCCTCATGTCTTCCTCCTCGACAATTATGGGCGTTGCGACAATGAGAACATGGATGAAAGGGTTAAGAAAATGGCCACTTCTACTCCTTCTGGACCGGCAAAGAACCAATAAGCAAAGGGTTAAGTCAAGGTCAGAATTGGGATGGAGCAGGTTGGGGCAGGTTTTCATTATGGTAGAGTTGGAGTCAAACTAAGGTAAGATCATGAGTACAGCATCAATGACCCGTCTCTATAAGTTCGAACCCGGGTAGTGTCCCAGTAGCAGCTTGCCTTTCTTGAGCGTCTCATTCCAGAGGGAGCGCTACGCGGCGAGCCCAGCTGATGTACACCCTTCATCGGGATGATTAAAGGTGCAATTGTTTACCACTTACACGGGCGTGGATCGAACCCCTCCAATACCAATCAAACTCTTGGGTTTTTATCTCTGTGATATGTACAGATCAGCCTGATCTTTTAGAGCAGGAAGGCTATGTCAGTTTTACATATCCGGAAGGCATAATAAGCTAATTTACAATCACCAGAGTTTATAACTAGCTGTGAAAGTTTGATGCTGTTCTAATGACCTTTGCGCTTTGGTTGGGAGTCACATGTGTGGCGCACCCAAAAACGGATGTTTGAATTGTGAACTCTTCAAAACGGAAGCTGTGCCGATAAGAGAAACTGCGCGCCCAGCTGCTCGTGTGACTTGCGTCAATGGCACCCTATCTAACATCTTATCTACCGAATGCTTTGTAAGGGCCGTAATTAAGGCGATTAGAGAGGAAAAAGAATTTGGCGCACGGCGATAAGTTTCCATGAGCTCTATAAAAGGCCAGCATTATCTCATGAAGTAGCTTCGACTTTCTGCCGAAATGGTACGTGCTTTTTGAGCCCTTCCAGCTGGGACATTTTCACTACACTACCTAAACCTTTTCCAGAGAGCTCTACTTCTGGCTGTGCTAGGATTTGTGGCTGTTAATGCGTTCGTAGTTCAGAAACAGGATATTGTTGGTGAGTCCTTTCGATTTCTGAGGATCTTCATGGGTTATGTCTCTACTGGTTCCAGGGGGCAAAGTTTGAGTCAGTGAATCGCCCTATTGGGTGAAGGTAATGCAACGATAAAGGGTAGTCATGCACATTCCGTGATTTGAATTACGGCCAGGCCCACAAAACTTATTTATGTAGCAGACCCCCATAATAGGTCAGCTGATACCCCCTTTTGAGGGTTGTGAGCCAATTTTCGGTGTATAGCATCCCTAAACGATCATGAAGTGGTAGAGGACGTGATTTGATAGCAGGGAGTTGTATTGGAGATCTCGGTCTTGAACGATTAGAATAGAGAGGTGGTGTGAAATTAGTTTTTTCGAGGATCCTAAACGGTCTCAAAAATTTTTGTTAACGTTACTGTACAGTACTACAACCACTCCCCTGCCCCATCTCCTTACCACCTACAGTCCCGTTCGGCGTGACTTTTGAAGAAGTGAAAGCAAGAGATGTAGCAGATAAAGAGAGTAAATTGTTTGAATTGTGCAATGATGATGTTCAAAGGGAATGTAGTAGGAGAAGTTCTCCTAAACAGGCTTCGATTTCAGATGAACTTCGAAAAATCTCGAAGGAAGCGGAAAGCCTAACCGGCCAAGAGCTTGCCGACTATGTCAACCAGAATCAGAAGCTTTTCACGGTCAGTCCGAACTACCTCTCTATGCTTCAATCAGAGAACCCTTTGAAGTAGATGTTTTCTATAACCTCTCTGAGCCATGCGTCAGTCTCTGAAAAGCGAGCCATTCAGGCCGCCCCATCAAAATTCAGTATGGAGGCGATGAAGGCCAAGCTCATGGATGTCAAGTACGTTGTAGAATCGGAGGACGCAGAAGAGCTCGTTATTGATGCTGAAATTCCCGCAAGGTCCGTTAACATCTTATAAATCGGAAATTTTTGAGCAAAAATATAGTCCTAGGCGAGCCGAAGTATATCCTAGCGATGTAACTTAGATGTTACACACTAGCCTTAGGAGCGCTTGAGGCTCAGACTGCTCACGTGATGAAGAAGCACTGTGACGTTACCTATGAAAAATAAAAAAAAAACCAAAAAAAAGAATTCAGCCAGGCACCTAAAAATGTAGGCTTGTTGTGCTTTCTTCTGAGGCAAATAACGGCGGATGGCAAGCTAAAACCAATGCGATCACCCTGATGTTTGAAAAAAGAACAGCAGAGCCAGCTACGTTCTCAAGAACACAATAGGCGAATTAAAGGCTAGAAACCCTTGAAGATTAGCCGAAAATTCGGGTTTCCTCTCTTCGTAGGGATGTTGTAATATGCACTTGGTCTATTGAGGACTTTGCGTTAAGTCAGCATAGTAGCAGAAAGCCAGCTCTCGAACACTTTTCCAATAATTGAGCGCCTCAAGTGGTGTCGCTACTTACCAGACACATGGCCCGGGGATCAAATCCTGGGTACACGTCAACGAAGCCTTCCATCCTTCTGAGTTTTATCATTTAGTACCACACTGGTTCGAAGGGCTGGGTATAAAAACAGTGACTATAATATAATATTTATGGGACTTGTGCATCTGCTTATCTCCACAAGCCATTGCACAGGCCAAATTGCATTCAAAATACGCCTACGATGCTCAATGAGAGTAGAATGCGTGGCACATCCCAGTCTGGAGATATATTGGCGTTGAGCTCAGATCCTGCGGATGTGATGCCTCTCAGCCATTGGGCTGCGATACGGCCTGTTAATAGCACTCAATGGGAACATTCATAAATAACAACAAGGCATAAAAAATACAGAAAGTCGGACCACGAAAAAATTCTTTACCACATGAATCTGAAAAACTTGTGGTAACGCATTCATAGTACATAATTTCAGTTTCGATTCTCGTACTCAGTGGCCAAATTGCAAATCGATCTCCACCATTCGAGACCAGTCGGACTGTGGTACGCGAAGGAAATATTACTACTGTTTTGACGTTTTTGTATAATCTCGAACGCGCTGAATTAAATGCAGTACCCGGCTTACAAACGCCAAGAAAATTTCAGGATCATGCTGGGCTTTCGGAGCTGCTGAAGCAATGTCTGATAGGATTTGCATTGCTAGCCAAGGAAAGACACAGGTACATTAATATTCAAGTTAAAGTATTCAGCATTTCATAGGCATTTGGGCTAGTCTATGGTTATGTACCCAAAGGCAGTACATAGGTCCAACGGTAATCAATTACCCTCTTTTTATTAGGAAGGAAGGCAGGCTGAGTAGGCACTGCTGAGTGTTTCGCACATTTCAGTTTCTGTTTATCGAACTCAGTCCGATTAAAAAAGGACGGACGCAAGAAAGTAGCGCGCTCTGGGTGTGGCCAAATTTCCATTCCCGAATAGTAGTTTTAAATACGCAGACAATTGAAAAGCAATGCCTACAAAAATATTTTTCTGACGCATTCCCGCCTGACTGCAGCGAAACCGCACGCTACGAGCTGTTTCTGGAATCATTGGAGCTCAAAGACGATCTTTTTGCAACCAGCAATTGAGCCATTTCATTGAGCGAGAACAATCAAATTAGAAAATTGCGCAAGGCACTTTCACTTATGAAGAAATTCTCCTAAACTGTAGTAGGCCAGCTTCAGGGTCTAAAAGTGATGGCACACAAATCAAATGACCGGCCACTAAAAGCGAATGAACCATCCGAACACTCTACATTAGACTTTTTGTGGTTTCCTTCAACATTGTACGAGGTTGCGCTATAGAAACACTGGGCACCAGAATGAGGTAACAGGCAGGGAGGAGGGTTCAGCGAAACAAGCGAGACGCAGACACCACATATATGAGGTCATTCCAAGTCGTAGTCGCGGGTGGAGGGGGTGGGGGGCGAAGTCGCGCGAACAGCATTTCATCTAAGTGACCTTACAACTTCATTGCACAAATTAATAAGCAGGCGGAGCTCCTCAGCCTATACAGGGGGGGCCAATAAAAAAAGACATTTTGTCTCCACTTTCAGATGGATTTAAGCACACTTTGCTCAATTGAGACCGAGTGTTCCCAACTTAATATTGAAGAGCACATTTCATTCTATAAGAAAATCTTCATGTTGGCCACCCACGTGGACGGCAACAGAAGAATTTGCCCTGGAAACATGGTGCACTGGTCGAGCTCAATGGGGTCTTCGAAGGATTCTGTACCATAACGACCTTTACTGGAAAGCTCGTTTCGAGGGGATTTGTATAGTGGGAGCTAACGCCTCTAGAAAAGTATCCAACATTATTCGTATAACTTCCAGAAATTACGTAGACCTCCTTGAGCCTGACGACGGTGACAGATGACGTCATATTCTGAAGACGGTGAGGGCAGTGAAGGAGGGCCTGCGTTCACTTATAGAGGGACACTTAGGGAATACTCTGCTGAGGAACTCCCGTCAACGACGGCAATCTCTGCGAAGAAAAAAGGGCCGAAGTCCGACATAGGCAAAATGTCTTTTTTTGGCCCCCCTGTATATCTTTGAGCAACGGTTTCATTCCTTCGAGCAGATTTAGAACGCTTCTCAACGTGCGCAGCGCCGATACTTAGACGATTAATGTAATATTTGCATCGAAAGTAGCAAACTGAAGCCAATGAACTCTATTTTAGGTCACTATCTCAGCCGACGATGTGCTCTCATGCTGTGGCAAGAAATGCGGAAATGGGTGAGTAATTAGAAAATTAGAAACACTGGTAAGAGTGAGTGTTGGAAAAATCTAATTATGAAATTGTGCTCCGCGTGCATGGAAATCTCCAACATTGTCTCACTAGAGGTGCCCCACTGTGGATTGCTCGTCGATCGGTAGTTAAGGTGTTTAAGATTTTTGGGCCACATTTGAGTCCTCTTCACACGCTTCCAAATGAGCCCTACTAATTTTTTGACTTGCCCGCTGTCCCATGTCGGCCAGGAGGCCTACGTCGCAATGGCGCTCGAAGGTGGTGTGGCAACGGGAGCCGTGCACGATATACCTGCCGCACGCTTTTTGTACCGGACAGGAGGCCCGTCGCACGGGGAGAAGGCAGGGTAAACGGACGATTCGCAGCGTGTACTGTGTGATGTGGCGTACTGTAAGAGCATTGTCTGTTTAAACATAACGCTAAAAACGCTACAATGCGAGGCTCGACCTAAGTCCGCGGCCCTGCCTTCTTGCCGAGCGACGGGCTCTCCTGACGGGTACTCGCAGGCTTCAGCGGTAATGAGTCATTACGATAGCGCTTTCTGCGACGCCGCATCACAGGCTTCCTGACCAACACACGCCGATACATTGACGGAATAGTGAAGTGTAAAAGAAACGATGGTGGACAAGAAAAGAGGCTCATACCGTACATCAACGGAAAATTATGCAAACAAAAATAATAGTTAGTATAAAATAACAAAGTGCGTATGATTTAGTTGCGAAGGAGGATATCCAATCGAAGCGTGGAAGTACTGGGTAAAGACTGGAATCTGCACTGGAGGATCATACGAATCGCAGGTGAGTCAATGTTTGGGAGACGGTCTTAGCAAGATCGAAAACTTGGTCAAAATTATTGGTTGTGTGGAACTGTTGAAACTGCGCACTTCGAAGTATCGCAAGGGGAATGGTATGGGACCAAAAGCGCTTGTTGTAAGAAGATCGTGTTTTTGAAAGATAAGACAGTGGGAAGGAGCCCTGCATCTTTCCTTCCATCCCTCATTCCCTGAGAACTTCGAGCGACAGTGTGACAAAGCTGGACGAGGGGTCGGACTTTGGTGCCTATTCCTGGGAGGCATGGGAAGATGAGTTTTTTTGGGGTTGATTCTTGTGAACTCTGACAATTTCAAAAATTTCAAAAATTTAAAAATACTCGCACCGTCAATCGCCGCGGGTAGGAAGGAAGGGGTTTGGAGGGGACATTCGCCGGCTACAGGGATTGAGGCGCTCTATGACACGATTGCAGAGCAGAACAAAATCTTTACCGTTCCTCCAATGATGGGAAAATCTTTGTCATAATGAAGAACCATTAAGGTTTTGTAATACCAACTTGAAGGCAGGGATCGCGATGATTGGGGGAGGGGCGGTGCGGTTTTCACGACGTCATCGAAGGTCATTGGCGGAAATATTTGTGAAGGTTCCGGAGACCCGGTGTGAAAGGTTCTGTGATCTCAATCACACCCCTTTCCCTACCCCCTTCACCCTCTCTCTAGCTCACTGAAGGGTCTAGCACAGCGATCAAGCTTGAAGACCTCATCAAAATCTCACCGCTCTCCAGCCATTGTGATCACTGCCTTTGAAGGGTATTTCCGTAAGCAGCTTTAAAATATTAGTTCGTGTGCAAGAGTGATTCATCTATTCTTATTACCTATGATTCAACTCCCTCTAAACCGAGACAATTACTTCAGACACTGTTTTGAAATTTGGAAATCAATAAGTCAATGTTTAGTCCGGATGCAAGCCCTACCCAATTCCTCCATGCGGTCATCACAAGAATCAGACCTACTTCGGACCCTGCCCCACGGACGAGTACGACACACCTGTGTGCACCAACAAATGCATCGCTGCTTACAAGACACCTTACAGTGATGACAAGCATTACGGTAAGAACACATCAGTTTTTCGCAGTATACGAAATTTGTCCCAACAATCCGTTACTGTAGGTACCGATCCGTTACTGTAATTCGTTACTGTAGGTACGTCTGCCTACAACGTTGCAAAGACTGTCGCTGGTATCCAGAAGGAAATCATGACCAATGGACCCGTAGAGGCTGCTTATACCGTCTACGAAGGACTTCTACCAGTACACTGGCGGAGTTTACACGGTATGCTTTCAAGACATCCCCATTTTCCATCTCGGTTTCCCTTTTATATCGGGGGTGAAAAATCAATGAGAAACTAGTTCATTTCTTTCAGCACACCGGAGGAGCTGAAGTTGGCGGCCATGCAGTGAGAATTCTTGGATGGGGTGTCGACAACAAGACCCCATACTGGCTCGTTGCCAACTCATGGAACACCGACTGGGGAGAGAACGGTAAGGAACATTCGGTGTGATTTCATCTTGGGAACAACTTGGTCTTTCTCAAAAACAAGGGACCATTCAAGTGTCAAATGTTGGCCCGTCCTGGACGAGTCCTTCGCTTTCTCCACAGGGCTAATCTTTCTACCAGAATTTTAGCAGTGATTGCCTGTCTTTGTTGGAAATCTCTGTAAATATTACATAGACCGGATTATGCTTCCGCATCCCACCCCGTTTACAAGGGTATCCATTCAGAAAAGTTATTGATTTTTTGAGCGCACTACTTTTTTGGTGTGAGGTGATAGAACCGCCAGAAGCATGAGGCCCCAAACTGTGAAGTTTGTTCTCGCGGACAGACATGTCGTAAATGCAGACTTGGTAGTACACGTGGCGGCCAAAAAAGTCGATACAATGTGTCTTTATTGACGCTCATAATGCTACCTGATGCCAAGTTTGTCTGCAATTACGACATGTGCAGTCACAGGAAACAACGCGTGAACAAATTGCCTTTGACAAAATATTTTATTCCAGGCTATTTCCGCATCCTTCGAGGAGTCAACGAGTGTGGAATTGAGCACGCTATCGTCGCTGGTCTGGCTAAAGTCTAAGCTCACGTGGCAAATGGTCTCTTAATCTGTTAAGATTGCCATGTAACGATACTGGTCCTGAGCATCACCGTGTTCAGGAAACATCCCTGTGACGTAGAATTGTGTATATGTTCAATAGTTCCATTGTAAAATGTACAACTTGTATTACGTGTAAAATTCATCAACAAATTCAGGAGTACAGACTAATAAAAGATTATTCCTTTTGCATTTTTCTTGTAATAGAACCAAAAAATCGAATACGGGAGAGAATGGATACAGAACTACTACTAACAATAAGTTAGGCTTTGAGACACGCCGTGACGTGGTCATTCGCCCAGAACTGCATTGGAGCCGCATTTGTTCTGTGCAATGACCAGGGATCAACGAAGGTCCACGACAAGGTCCGAACAGTATGTTATGGATATACCCATCAAGGCTGTGACGGGATATTTTGTTACCCTGAGCGAGATCCGATGCAAGGAAATCCATCACAACTTCCCGTTAATTCGCCATCCTCATGCAAAAGAACGACCCAAGTGTACAAACAAGGATTGAAGGAGGTATAGAGGCACCTCATGCTCACAGGCAACTTATTCCACAGCTTTCACCAGAGTAAGACTAGTCATTGTTCCACAAGGATAAATAAGCTGGCCAAAATGACTAGAAAAAGCAAACATTCATCAAATCCTTACACTGGGGAGACCTTAAAATTTTCCTAACGATTCCTCTGAAACCGGCGCTGCTTATCGATCCTCCCAGAAAGACGGTGGCAGGGACTAAAAATAGTCGTCGAAGAATTGTTTAACTGATTCTGCGCCCTGATTTTTTCCCCGATCAGTAAGCGCTGGAGGTGCGGACAAAACGACTCTGGCTAAGCTGGAGCAGCACAATACTGCTCCTAATTTTTGAAAAGTCGAGGGGTTTGCGGTCCTCTGCATGGAATGGCCTCCGCCGACTTCGCTGTATGGAGCGAATACGCACTCAGAAGCTAGTACCACCATCCCAAAAAGGTATATGCCTAGTGTATTCGGAAGTAAAGAAAGGGTTAGTCAATCTTAGCAACACCATCCATTTTGTATTACAATCATGAAGTCGAGCGAAGCTGGTGTGATGGTTTCTAGGCGTAAATGCGCTTCACTGCCTTTGCGTAGACAGCAGATACGAATTGAGCTGCTGTCCACGCAAAGATGAATTGCGAAGAATAAAAGAATGGCAATGTAATAAAATGTAAATGTGAATGTATTAAAACATTGACAGCACACTTAAACTTAAGAGCACTCTTAATAGCATTTTGAAAAAGTGTGAACGTGACGGTTGACCCTGGTTGCGTGCGGCTTGTCTTTCTACGCTAGACGGGGAGTAACATGCACCCTAATTGTTCAACTATGTCGACGATTACTTTTTGTTTCAGACGAGATGGCACGTAAGCACCCACGATCATTTAGAGAGTGCAGAGTGGTCTTTCATGCTACGGATGGGCGGCAAAAAATTGTTGTCAAGAAAAGTCAGACATGAACCGTGCCGAGCAATTTTTTTGAAAACTGCCGTGCCAATCACGGCTTTTCGGCACATTTCAACGGATTTTTCTGCTATTTTTCAACACTTTCAGCTTTGATTTCCAACTTCATTAGCTTTCTGTTTTGTAGGCTTGATTCGCACAATAACAGATAAATCCTCCATAAAAGCCCTCTGTGCGAAGTTGCGTCAAATCTAGCCCCAGCTCAGCAAACTCTTTTGTTTAAGATGCATCCTCTCACTGACACGTTCCCCTAGTGCTTCTCCAAGAAAAGCCAACTTCATCACAAGTGAATTCCAGTATACGCGCGTTTCGAAGCATACTTTTATTTCTGAACTTGTAATAAGTAACCTACGAAATTACATGCGAAATTTGCTGAAGGGCATTCAAAGTATCAATGAGAGAAGTCGATAAAAAAAATAGAGTCAACCGTGCGTTGTGCAGATGTCGAAATTTTGCGCACCCCTCCCTCTTTGGCCGATGTCATTTGCGAACCGCTCGATCCGAGCGTTGCGCCAGCGAATCGAACTTTGCACCAGCGAATCGAACGATGCACCAGCGAGTCGAACTATGTACCAGCGACTCAATAGTGGCGGGACCCAACGTTCAAAGGAAGCCCGCTACTTTCGAACAGTGTCACGTGACAGTGGACCTTTTAAAAGTGGCGGGACTTGACAGTGGACACTGTTTAAAAGTGGCGGGCTTCCTTTTGTCGGGTCCACGTCCACTGCGAAGGGGCGTGGCCCAGGTTACGGTATCGAAGGAGGCTGGCGTTGGCTAGCCGGGGCTCGGGAGTGATGGTCCAGCCTTGACCATACTCACCCCGCTTCACGACCCTTTCTTACCTTATGTTATATCTAATAAATATGTATAGCCTCATTATCTTTTTATATATATACAAACCGCTACACACCATCAGATGTAGGCGTCATGAACCTATAATCTGATATGGAGGTCCCGGGGAGATTCGTTGAATTCCATCCGCATATTCATAATCCTTTCCCTAGCCATATCCATGAACTGGTCCGTTGAGAAATGCTCTTTGAGTTGGTTATTGCTGAACGCCAATTTGATTTTTGCTCATCTGCCATATTCTCATAAACTGCTTTTGCCACTCCCTTGAGATGGGCCGGGAGTAGACGGGCCATTTTGGATTCATTAATTCCCATTATGTTACTTATTTCATGGAATTCGTGTACAAAATCCATAAGACCAGCACCCATGTTTGCTCCCGAAAACGTTGGAAGTTTGCTAGCGTATGATGCTAGACATAGCCTATCAAATGCGGATTCTAAGTTATTAGCAGGTAGATTGTTGGCTTCCATTTGAATGATGTCTTGGGTACAGTAATGTTTTGATTGGGGTTCTCGAAAGTTAATTGCACGTAATCGTATAGTTGCACCGTTACGGCTTGAACGTATTGTTCTTGAAAGTTACCTAGATGGGAATTGCAACTGTAATTGGTTGGTTGGTTCGATAATTTGTGGAGAAGGCGTGCGCAAGGAGCTGATTGTTGAGTAAGGAATTAATGAAGAAAAACTATCGTCTGAGGGTGGGGCAGTTGGTGTTGGTCGCGGTGGAAGAGATTGTGCGCGACTATATCTGGGTTCAGAATCGGAACTGGCAATGGAATTAGCTGTTTGAGGTGGCGCGAGGAATTCCGGTTTTGTCTTTTAGTTTCTTTTTATCTGGGGTAGTAGATGGTCGTACTCTGGTGCGACGCTTAACGGAAAATCTCCCCTCTGCAAGTCTATGTAAAGGTCTTCCGTCCGAATCTGTTAATATTTCGGAATCAGAATTACTCATATGCGGGAGGCTAAATACTGACTTATTTGTTTTTGGGAATTACTTTTGTTATGCTACTTATATTTTGTTTTATTTCACTTAATAGAAGAAGTAAATTCAATCGATGAATAAATTGAAAACAAGTTTGCTTTAGTTAGAGTATCAAGCCTTTATTTTCAGTTTAGGAAGAAAGTAAAGATAAAGAGAAGTATGAAATACTAGAGTTGTTACTATTTAAGACTCACTGATCCTTGAATGGGTTGTTTGTTGAATGAAAATGTTGATCGTTTGTTGTAGATTGTTTGGTTTCTTGGCAGTTGGTATTGTTCCTTTTGGTTGGTTGTTGATAGTCGAAGGTGGGTCACTACTCCAAGGGCCGTATGCTATGCTTTCGGGGAAGGGGAAGAGTTCTGCTTCGGGGAAAATCCCCGAAGCAGACGTCCCCGAAGCAGGGCGTATGCTATGCTCCCGAAATTCATTCGGGGAGAGAAGACGCAGAGCTTTTAAGTGATAATATGGAGGCTTTTATTGCGGCATTCCTCTGAAATTACACTTAAGTTTGTTAATTTACGTATTTTTAGGCATATGTTGGTGAGATTAACGATATTAGTACTCCAAACAATCTTAATTGGTCGAAAAGTATCGAAACAATCTGTAAAAATAAGAAGAAAAACGAAATTTGGATAAGCCATATGTAAGTTGAATTTATTTCTTATCCCAAGATTGGAAGGTACCCTTGCTGTAGACTTTGTTTGGCGCGATTCGCTACAATTCAAAAAATCGCGTGAACTCGTAACTAATTTCTAATCAAAATGAGGTTTTTACGACTATTTATCCGAAAATTGCACAAAAAAAGTAACTGATAATGACAATTTTGTAAAATCTAAGGTGTCCTTTCTCCATCTTTCGATTTTCAAAAAGAAACTCTCATTTTCCTTGAATTCGCCGTTAGAACTCATTTCTCGAGTAAAATTTGGCGTAGGCCTACGGTTTTTTTTTTTTTTTTTTTTTTTTTTTTTTTTTTTTTTTTTTTTTTTTTTTTTTTTTTTTTTTTTTTTTTTTTTTTTTTTTTTTTTTTTTTTTTTTTTTTTTTTTTTTTTTTTTTTTTAATCAACATTATGCCCTTTAATAGACAGTTATGAAGAAAAAAAACTAAGATTTTCTTATTAACCCTTTCGGCCCTGGCGGTGGCAATTGCCACCACCAAATTCAAACGCTTGCATTGCCGCTGAAACAGCATGGTTTTTCTAATCCTGCTAGAGGTTGCTTCAGTCAACCTTCCCCTTCCTAATTATGAGCTAAACCTGCCATTTCATTGTGTGTTGCTGTTAGTATTACAAGTATTTGTGTACAAGTGCAACAATGAATGGGCGCTGACCCCCGCAACCGGCCAAGTAAGTGTGACTTTTTCTTAAAATACTTGAAGTAGATCCATTCCTAAATCAAAATTATGGGTTATAATGTTATGCAAGATTATAAACTTTTTCGGCATAACTATGAAATTTCGAATTGTTTCGACATAAGCTTAAAAACTAAGAAGGTGGGCCAATTTTCAAAGCTTCTTAGTTTCTTTGTTTGTGATCGAATAGCTTCCAAATTTCGCCATAATGATACCTATATGCTCACAAGTAATAAACAATAGCTAGAAGAAAAATTTCTCCACGGGGAAAAATTCAGGTCCGAAAGGGTTAAACCTTTTTTCATTTTTTTTGCAAAAATT